CTATGCCGCGACCCTTTAATACAGTTCCTCATGTTGTGGTGACCTCCAACAAGACATGGCCCACTGGAAGAGCCTCTCTGTTCCTCTCAGGCCATGCGGGGGGGGGGGCTTATGGAGCTAAGACTGAATGCGTTTCAGCATAGATGGCCACTACAAAATTGTACATTGGCTCCCGGCTGGCCTGGGCCAGGGCCAAGGCAACGGGGTCCGTTCCCTCACTGTTTCCAGGATGGCTTCGTGGGCCACATGATACCACTTTGCGGGCCACATCCGGCCCCCGGGCCTTGTGTTTGACATGTCTGTCCTAGACTCTTTTGTTACGTGCCTCCCATTTCAACTTCTCTCCAAACTTTCCAAAAGGAGAGCTCTCCTCAACTATTTTATTTGGGGAAGAAGGGGGGTAGGTTTGTGCTAGCCCACCTTAACAATATTTGGAAATCTATTTCTACTTTATATGTGAAAGCCCCTTCACTGCAGTTGGATATTGAACTCACTGCCATTGCTTATTCATCCATTCCATGTTTGTCAGATTCAATTGTTGCTATCCCCTGCAAGTGAGTAATTACTCAAAAACCATTTCAGTTACCTCACTCCCAGACACAAATCATGACAGGATTTGCCTCCCTCCTCTGGGTTCTATTTCTCTCACAGGGCTGTTAATGTGGGAATAAAATTAGGAGAGACCCCACCCCAACTCTGTTGCCTTGAGAGAAAAAGTGAGATATCCACAAAGTTTACCTGGACATTTTTCTTATTTCTATTTTCCTTATCCATACCTTTTCATAGCTTCTTATGCATATATCCCCTCTCCCATGAAACATAAAGCAGGTAGATATGAGAAAAAAGTTATTTTTCATACCATGCTAAATTGCCTTTCCTCCTATCCCAACTTTAAGGAAAGAAAACGTGGGCAAATCTCATGCAGTATCTGTTAGAATTTTAAAACTGAAGCATGCAGATGAAATGCCAGGTCCGTGGTAAATAAGGCCCCCCTCATACAAGATCTTATTTTAGAGGGGGGTGCGGACCTGGCGGGTATCACTGAGACCTGGCTGGGCGTTGAGGGAGGAGTCCCTCTTGTAGACATCTGCCCGCCGGGTTTTCAGGCATTTCATCAGCCGAGGACCCGGGGTAGGGGCGGGGGGGTAGCGGTCATTATAA